CTTAATTTCTCCCAAATATACAAAGTCTGTGTGTCTTTTCCGAGCCAACTTAAACTGAGATTGGAGTAACACAAGAGCCCCTGTGGCTACTACAACTATGACTTCACTGGGTCAGATCTGAAGCCAGAACAGCACTGGGTCCAGCCCAAGGCCTGCTAGAACCACTCCCCAAATATAGCCTATTTTCACTCAAGGATCTAAGGCACTATACTCAGCAGGTGGCAAAGCAAACCAGGCCTATCTCTTTCTTTTTATGACAGTGAGGTCCCTTAGTCCCCAGGTGGGTCCAGAGGCCCATCTGGAAGTCCGCGTCTAGAGTAAAAATTCTCAGAAATCTAACTGGTATTCCACTGTATTGTGGCTGATCTGGTACTCAAACCATAAGATGCAGTTTTTCCCACTATTATCCTCTTTTCCAAAGGCACAGGAGCCTCATTTTGTAGCCACTGCCCACCCCTGGTCATGTGGAATACTTCTAAACTACCACTGATATTCTTTTAAGGCCCAATGTCTCTTAAGTCAGCTTATAGTGAATGCTTCCTGGCCTGGGACCCACACTTCAGGGTAGTGGACTCTCCCTCTGGTCTAGGACAGGTCCAGAAATGTCATCCAAAAATCAAGTTTTGGAATCAGGGACCCTAAGAACCCACTTGCCACTCTATTTCCCTGAGAAGGTGTTGGTACCTGAAGTCAGCAAGTCTCAGATGCCCACCAAGGCCCTTTATGCAGTACCTGGGTATCACTGCTTGTTATTCAGGTCCAAGGGCTCCTTGATTAGCAGGTGATGAATGTTTCCAAAACTGGGTACTTTTCTTCCAGGCAGCAGGTTCCCTTCTGGCTCAGGGTGTGTTTAGAAATGGCATTTGGGAGCTACAACCTGGATCAGAGGACTCAGGTGCCCTATCCTGTTGTGGCTGACCTAGTATCCCAGATGCAAGACATAGTCCTCTCCACTCTTCCATCTCCTCTCAAATATGAGGAAGGAATCTTCTTTAAAGTTGCAAGCTCTAAAGCGTGGAGTCAGGGGAAATGAGATGCTAGCACTTATTTGGCTGCCCCAGCTGGTATCTTAGTAGGTGATGTGCTCCCCTAGTCCACTGTCTCTGGGCCTAGTTCAGCCCTAGGATTCATTTATGATTTGCAGTCCTCATAGCCTAGACTGACTTTCAAGTTTACTTGGAGACCCAGAGCCCCGAAGCCCGTGGCGGCAATGATTGAGGGAACTCAAGTTTGGACTACTGAGATTGGCCATTCTTCTCAGGTTAGGGATGGTTTAAGTTCCCCTTCTTGATGGGCATCAGTTTAGTTTTTTTCCACATTTTATTTCTATTCTAACAGAACAGCACTGTGATCAGTGCCTCACAATTGTGTGTTCTCCCTCCCTCAGTGCTTAGAAATGTTCTTGACACCACACTCCTTCTGTTGGGAATTGGGGAGTAGTGGGCTCCATGATTCAGGACTTAAAAAAAAAAAAACAAAACTTTTTTTTTTTTTTTTTTTTACTTTTTTTTTTTATTATTAAACTTTAAGTTCTAGGGTACATGTGCATAACGTGCAGGTTTGTTACATATGTATACTTGTGCCATGTTGCTGTGCTGTACCCATCAACTCGTCAGCACCCATCAACTCGTCATTTACATCAGGTATAACTCCCAATGCAATCCCTCCCCCCTCCCCTCTCCCCCCTCCCCATGATAGGCCCCGGTGTGTGATGTTCCCCTTCCCGAGTCCAAGTGATCTCATTGTTCAGTTCCCACCTATGAGTGAGAACATGCGGTGTTTGGTTTTCTGTTCTTGTGATAGTTTGCTAAGAATGATGGTTTCCAGCTGCATCCATGTCCCTACAAAGGACACAAACTCATCCTTTTTTATGGCTGCATAGTATTCCATGGTGTATATGTGCCATATTTTCTTAATCCAGTCTGTCACTGATGGACATTTGGGTTGATTCCAAGTCTTTGCTATTGTGAATAGTGCCGCAATAAACATACGTATGCATGTGTCTTTATAGCAGCATGATTTATAATCCTTTGGGTATATCCCCAGTAATGGGATGGCTGGGTCACATGGTACATCTAGTTCTAGATCCTTGAGGATTCGCCATACTGTTTTCCATAATGGTTGAACTAGTTTACAATCCCACCAGCAGTGTAAAAGTGTTCCTATTTCTCCACATCCTCTCCAGCAACTGTTGTTTCCTGACTTTTTAATGATCGCCATTCTAACTGGCGTGAGATGGTATCTCATTGTGGTTTTGATTTGCATTTCTCTGATGGCCAGTGATGACGAGCATTTTTTCATGTGTCTGTTGGCTGTATGAATGTCTTCTTTTGAGAAATGTCTGTTCATATCCTTTGCCCACTTTTTGATGGGGTTGTTTGTTTTTTTCTTGTAAATTTGTTTGAGTTCTTTGTAGGTTCTGGATATTAGCCCTTTGTCAGATGAGTAGATTGCAAAAATTAAAAAACTCTTTAGTTCCTCTTTTTGCAATATGAAGTTAAAACCAGGTGCTGTGAGTGCTCACCTGATTTTTGGTTTTTATGAAGGCATTGTGTATGTGTGTGTGTGTGTGTGTGTAGATAGTTGTTAACTTGGTATCTTTACTGGGGGGAGGCGTTGATTGGTGGAACTTTCTATTCCACCATCTTGCTCCACCTCTCGGGGTTTTCTATATGTACTATTGTGTCATCTGAATATAGGGACCACTTAATTTCCTTTTTTCCAGTTTGGATGCTGTGTTGTTTTTCTACCTCTTGCCTAATTGTTCTGACTAGAACTTCGAGTACTATGCTGAGTAAAAGTAGTTAAAATGGACATCCTTGTCTTATTTTATATCATAAAGGAATATCTTTCAGTTTTTTTCCTGTTCAGTATGATGTTAGCTGTGGGTCTGTCACATACGGCCTTTATTGTGTTGAGGTGTTTTTCTTTCTAACCTCTTTTATTAAGAGTTTTTATCAGAAAGAGATGAGTTTTATTATTGAATGCTTTTTCTGAATCTATTGGAATGATCGCGTTTTTTGTTCTTAATTCTGTTTCAGTGATGCATCATATTTATAGAAATAACTTTAATTATTTACAGAAATAATTTATAGAAATAACTATAGGTTAAATCATCCTTACATCCCTGAGATGCATCTCACTTGAAGATGGTGAATGATGTTTTTTATGTGCTGTTGAATTCAATTTTCTATTTTACTGAGCAATTTTACATCTACTTTCACTCAGGAAATTGACTCATACTTCTCTTTTTTACTGTGTTCTTATCTGATTTTGGAATCAGAGCCACACTGTCCTCAAAAAAAATGAGTTTAGAAGAATTTCTTCCTATTCTGTTTTTTGAAATAGTTTGGAAAAGAAAGGTATTATGTCTTATTTAAATGTTTGATAACATTCAGTGATGAAAGCATCAGGTCCTGGTTTTTCTTTGCTGGGAGACACTTTGTTACTGATTCAATTTGTTATTTGTTCAGATGTTTTATTTTTTCATAATTCGATCTTGGTAGTTTTTATGTGTCCAGGAATTTATCAATTTTTTTCTATGTTTTGTAACTGCTGGCATATACAATCGACCATTGAATAATGTGGGAATTAGGAACCCTGATTTCCTGTGTTGTTGAAAATCCAAGTATAACTTTTGAGTCCCCAAAATGTTAACTGGTAATAGGCTAATGTTGACCAGAAGCCTTAGTGATAACATAAAGAGTTGATTAACACGTATTTTTGTACAATCTGTGTATTATACACTATACTCCTACAATAAAGTAAGCTAGAGAAAAAATATCATTAAGGAAATCATAAGAAAGAGAAAATACATTTACTATTCTTAAAGTAAAAGTGGACCATCATATATGTCTTAATTCATATCATTCTCAGGATTCTCAGGGGTAGGTTCAATTCCTACAGTTCTAGAAATAAGAGAATTTTAACCTTTATTATTTACTCTATCAAAGTAATTGTTTTGTCAGACATATTTCTTATGTTTGGGGTGGGATGCTGGAAATTAGGACAGTCATTGAGATATATCATATGCAGAATGCTAGTGTAAGTGGTAGGAAGTTTTTCATAGAAGATGTATGAGTTGGTCATAGCAGAATTGAGGGTATGCTGTTCAAATTCATTAAAATAGGGTGGTTAAAAGAAGGGTTTTGGTAATGAAATTTGTGGTATAGAGCTCTGGTAAATATATAGCGTGTAGCGTTCCTAGGAAAATAATAGCAGTTAGGGTATTTATTATGATACCATTCATGTATTCTGCTATAAAGAAGAGGGCAAATGAGCCTGCAGCATATTCAGTGTTGAAGCCTGAGACAAACTCTGACTCTCCCTCTGTTAGATCAAAAGGGCTCAGTTACTTTCTGACAGTATGGAGATAAATTCTATTATAGCTAGGGGCCATGATCGTAAGAGCAGTCATAGGAATTCTTGCATTGTGATGAGTGTATGCAAGTTAAATGAGCCACTTATCAGTAGGACTGATAGAAGGATAATGGTTGGGGCAACCTCATATGAAATTGTCTGGGCCATGGCTCTTAATACACCAATTAGTGCATATTTTGAATTAGATGCTCATCCTGATCATAGAATAGAGTAGACGGTTAGACTTGATGTGGCTAATATAAATAGGAGACCTATATTAAAGTTAATTAGAGGATCTGGTATATGGAGGGGGATTTGTAAGAGGAGAGTGATGGAAAGGGCTAGGGTTGGAGAAATAATATAAAAGGTAATACAGATGTTGAGAGCTGTAAAGTTTCTTTGGTGAAAAGTTTTATTGTGTCAGCAAATGGTTGAAGCAGCCCATAGGGAACTACAATGTGGGTCCTTTGCATAGTTGTATATAGCCTAAAATTTTTTGTTCGATGAGTGTAAGGAATGCTATAGCGATAAGAGTGGGAATAATGAGTAGGAGAAGATTAATTATAGGTATGTAGTTAAGAAGAGGAGTTGAACCTCTGATTATAAAGTTTTAAGATTTATGCAATTGCCGGGCTCTGCCATCTTAATAAACCCTGTTCTTGAGTAGTGTGTGTGTCATGATTTGTTAGATTGAGAGCATCATCTATGGAGTGAGAGGGCTTTATGAAGTGGGCTCTATTTCTCTTGTCTTTCATACTAGGAGAAATGTTAAATAGATAGAAACCGACCTGGATTACTCCGGTCTGAACTCAGATCACTTAGGACTTTAATCATTGAACAAATGAACACTTAATAGTGGCTACACCGTTAGGATGTCCTGATCCAACATCCAGGTCATAAACCCTATTGTCGATATGAACTCTAGAATAGAATTGTGCTGTTATCCCTAGGGTAACTTATTCCATTGATCAAATTATTGGGTAAATGGGTATTAACTCGATTAGACTAGTGGTCTTAGTTTAGGTTGTTCAGGGGTTGAATTATGCTCTGAAGTCACTCCAACCAAAATTTTTAGTGCAGGGATTATAGGCTAGGGCCTTTAGGCTTGCTTGAATTTTTATTTGCATTAATGAATTAAAGCTCCATAGGGTGTTCTCATCTTATCTGTTTATATCCGCCTCTTCACGGACAGGTCAATTTCACTGATTAAAAATAAGAGACAGCTGAACCCTCCTGTGGCCATTCATACAAGTCTCTCTTTAGGGAACAAGTGATTATGCTACCTTTGCATGGTCAGGATACTGCGGCCATTGAACATATGTCACTGGGCAGGCAGTGACTCTAATACTGGTAATGCTAGAGTGATGTTTTTAGTAAACAGGCAGGGTATGATTTGCCGAGTTCCTTTTACTTTTTGTAATATTTTCTTAGAGTATACCTGTGTCGGGTTAACATTATCAATAATAGGGTGCTTATTATATCATTTATTAGTATTAGGATGTTAACTGTCAGTGGGTTATTCCAGTCTGATGTAAGCTTAAGCAATGGTGAATGTCTTCATGTTACTTATACTAACATTATTGTTTCTATTAGATAATAGATTAGCCCAATGTGATGCTAGGAGTTCAGTAGAGTAATTAGAATTTTAAAAGTTAGATATTGAGCTTAAATACTTTCCTCATTGGTGGCTGCTTTTGGGCCAACTATGGTAGTAATATTTTTTACTCTCTGTAGGAAGGTTGTTCCCTGGGGTCTAAAGAGCTGTTCCTCTTTAGACTAACAGTTAAACTTACAGGGAGATTAAATAATTCTGTGGGTAGTTTAAAGTTGAACTAAGATTCTATGTTGGACAACCACCTATCACCAGGTTTGGTAGACTTGTCACCACTACACATAAATCTTCCCAATATTTTGCCACATAGGAGAGTGTGCTCTTTCAGCTGTTCTTGGGTAGCTCGTCTGGTTTCAGGGAACTTGACTATAGTTCTCTGTGTAAAGCTATTTCTGGTTAATGTATTATGCAGAAGGTATAGGGTTTATATTTGCTTTTTAGTGCTTGAGACAGTTCTTTCATCTTTCCCTTATGGTACTTATGTCTCTTGCGCCAGGATAAAAATTTCTATTGTGTGTACCTTTGTCTAAGGTAAATGGTTTGATTAAGATATTTTGGTAATATTTGTAGCTAGGTTTGGGGCTAGAGTTGGCTCAAAGTGATCAGGTCATGATTTGTTAATGCTCATTTTGTATAGTATCTTGCAAGTGTTTTCTGGATTTCTTGTATCTGACGGTCTACCTCTCTAGCAAGTTTAGGAAAATTTATTGAATTATTCCCTCAAATATGTTTTCCAGGTTGCTTTCTTTTTCTCTGTATCTCCCAGGAATGCCAACAATTAAAGGTTTTGTCACTTTACATAATCCCATATTTCTCAAAAACTCTCCTTATTTTCCCATAGTTATTATTATTTTTTTACTTTTTACTGACTGTGTTTGTTCAAAAGACTGGTCTTCAAGCTCGGAGATTCTTTCTTCTGCTTGGTCTAATCTATTGATAAAACTTTCAATTATAATTTGAAATTCCTTAAATGAATGTTTGAATTTCAGAAGTTCTGATTTCTTTTTATGGTATTTATCTCTTCCTTCATTCCCTAAATTGCTTTAGAAGTTTCTATCTGTTGACTTTCTTTTTTGTTTTGTTTTGTTTTGTTTTTAGGAGTCTCTTTTTTTTTAAATTATTTATTATTATTATTATACTTTAAGTTCTAGGGTACATGTGCATAACGTGCAGGTTTGTTACATATGTATACTTGTGCCATGTTGCTGTGCTGCACCCATCAACTCGTCAGCACCCATCAACTCGTCATTTACATCAGGCATAACTCCCAATGCAATCCCTCCCCCCTCCCCCCTCCCCATGATCTATCTGTTGACTTTCAACCTTGTCTTGGATCTTATTTAGCTTCCTCACAATCCACACTTCGAATTATTTACCTGTCATTTCTGAGTTTCCATTTTGGTTAGAACCATTGATGGAGAACTAGTGTGATCCTTTGGTGGTGTCATTTCATTCAGCTTTTTTGTTGTGCCAGAGTTCCTATTCTAGTCTCTTCTCATATGGAGACACTGGCACTTCTAATGTTTGCAGTTACTTTCTTGAGGGTAGGAATTTTTATTTTTCTTTATCTAAAGTATTATTGTGTTTTTCTTCTTTCCCTTTCCCTTTCTTTCCCTCCCTAGGTGTTGTGACCAAAGAGAATTCCGAGTAGGGTATTTTGGTTTTGCTTGTATAGCCCTATGCACTTCTCTTAGCAGGTTTTATATTGGGCTTTGTGGTTTTACTTGTAAGTAAGCAGATAGTGCTTATGGGTAAGAGCCAGCTGAAGCTGATGTGTCTGAGTATATACTTGAATGTTTTTTTACTTGGAGAAGATCTCTGTTACCTCAGGCAATGGTCTGACTCATGAAGTTCACAGTGGTCTGAGCTCCCTTCTCAGGCCCAGGGAAGTAGGGGAAATATGGAAAGGGCTCTGCAAGACAAGTCTGCCTATAGGTGCCCTGATGGCAGGCACAATCACCAGCACCAAAGGAGAATCCAGTGAGCAGTCACCAAGCTCCGAGAGGTATGCCTAGGAATGGAGCCAGGAAATCTCAGCCCCAATTTCTCTGCTTGGTGTGAGGGGCAGCCTAAACTTCAAATCCAGGACAGTGAATGTTTCAGATGCCTTGAGGTCTGCCTGGGTGTGGAGTGAAGAAGGCCCCCACCCCCAACCTCTGCACTAGGATCTCTACCAGGAATAGTGGAACTGCTCAGGCTGCTGTTCTAGGTTAACAGATGCTCTAAATTCCTGGAGATTTGCATGGGTGTTAAGCAGAGATGGTCCCACTGCACCAAAATCTCTGCACAGGAGGGGTAGGTGACTCAGACTGCTAAACCAGGCAAGCAAGCACTCTGAATGCCTGAAAATCTGCCTGCCTTTCTGATTTCCCTGAGCACTCAACTCGAGGCCTCACAATTGCTGGCTATTAATCCCTTAACACACAGTAATGCTTTCTGTACCAGGCTGCCTCTGCTGGTAGATAGGAGAGGGGTAGCATCAGTGATTTAAGACTGTTTTTACTGTCTCTTCAGTGCATCTTTCAGTGATATAAAGTTAAAACTAGATACTCTGAATACTCACCTGATTTTTGGTTCCTATGAAGGCATTTTTTTTGTGTACAGATAATTGTTAAATTGGTGTCCTTGCTGGAGGGATGATCAGTGGGGCCTTCTATTCCGCCATCTTGCTCCACCCCAAAAAGCTCATTATATATCTTATTTTTTTTTACATGACTGGTAATTTTTGATGCCAGATGTTACTATTTTAGATTGTTTGATGCTTGATATTTTTGTATTTCTAGACCTTTGTTCTGTGATGCAGTTAAGTCACTTGAAAACAATTTGATCCTTTCGTTTGGTGCATCTAGAGCACTTTGCAGCCTAGGGCTAATTATTTCCCATTACTGAGGTGAAATCCTTCTGTTTGCTCTACCCAATGTCTTGTAGATATTAAGGTTTAGCTGGCAGCAAGAGTCACTATCGTGGGGCCTATGTGAATGCAGAGAATTCAAATCCTCTGGAAGTTGTTTCTAATGTCTTGGATAGTTTCCTCACAGTCACATACTCATTTGAATATGTGAGGGCAGCTGTCTCTTCTCCAGAACTGCATTCTGTAAACACTGGTTGCCTTAATTAACCTGGATTCTCAGATCTTTCTTCTCAACTCAGGGAATTAACTGGGTTCTATCTGGGCTCCCTCTACTTGTGGTTGGGAAACTGTCCCAAGGAAGTAAGCTAAAACAATATTATTTGTTTGCACTCTCTCAAGGTTTACTGTCTTTGATTGCCAGATATTCAACACCTAAAAATTTCTCATTTCATATATTTTGTCTTTATTTGTTGGCTCAGATGGGAGGAGAAATATGGTTCTATTATTTCAATGTATTTGGAAGCAAATATCTTGTGGACAGGTTAAAACAAATTAGCAATAAAAAAGTCATGGCATCTGGGAATGTCAGAGTTCATTCAATAATTTTCCCTTTAAAGCTGGAATTTGATTCCAGAGTCAAAGGTCTATATACTCACTGAACACCATTTTACTATTTTGTAAATAGATTTCATGTTGTTAGTATAGCCAATCCACCATAGATATTAAATTTATAGACATTCCTTAATGCAACTTCAATAAAGTTTAGGTTTTAAACTTCAGCGATTTTCAAAGCAAAAAAAGCACCCCAGAAAATATTTGCTGCTTTTTGCCATCTGTCTTTTCACACAATATTATTCATTCACAAGGTGGGAGAGTTTACCATTATTTCCTTTGACATCTGGTCACATAATTTAGTTCTACAAATGGAAATCAAAATTCAGAAGTGAGTCTGTTATCTAAATTATTCTGCCTTCAGATCCTCTGTACCCTCAAAACTAAATGGAATCTAAAATGTATGTGTGACATATTCATAAATATAAAGCAGAATGTTTGAGAGGCTTTCATCAAAATAGTTAAAATTATTGCCTTATAATTTCTAGCTTTATTCCTCAATGTATGGTACTGTTTCAGGTGTTGTGAGAATATTAAAAATAGCTCATGAGGGAAAATATATATATAAGGAGAAATACTACATGCTTACTGCTGAAGAAATGTTGATTAAGGAATCTCTTGAGTATGCTAAGAACTGGGCAAAGAATGAAGTCAGTGAAGTAGAGTTTCATATAGGGTTGATTATTATAATTTTTTTCTTAACCAAATTGTTGCAACTTGATTTAGAAAAATAGAGAGCATTCCAGACATTGGCAATAACATGAATAAAGGCATGGTGGCAGGAGGGAACAAGATGTATTGAAAAGAAGTGTGATTTGGCTGAAGAGAGAAAGAAATTAGAAATACATTTTTGAAAAATATGTGTATTGGAAAACAAATCTATGGAGAATTTTGTATTTAGTCTAAAGGCTTAAGCATATATAACTTTCATTTCAAGAAAGTAAAGTGAAATAGATAAACTTACCAATTCTTACTCTGAAAACAATAAGCACAGAAACCTGGATTAAAAATAACATATATCCTTCTGATTTGGAACAAGATGGCATAGATTCATTTCTTCCAGCTTCTCTTCACTTAGTACAAGTAAAAAGCCTAAAGATAACATAATAGACAGTCATAGAATAAACTGAATGAATGAAAGGGGAAGCTGACTGCCTGGGGGACCCCAAGGCTTGAGTGAAAGCACAGCAACTCAGTGTCTCCTCACCACCTTCTCAGAGCCAGAAGCAACATCAGGCCCAAAGTCTCTCAACCCTCCAAGAGACAGGAAGCATAGCAGGCCCAGTGTCTTCGTACTGCTGGCACTGAACAGCCTAAAAAGCAGGACCTTGGAAGCTCTCTTTTTTTATTTAGATCTGGCTACTCCTAACCTCTCTACCTTGCAGCACCCAGTGGCCTAGAGTAGCACAGTCTGCCCCTGCAATCAACACCAGGAGAAATCAATAGGGAACTTCACCAGTAACGGGTGGGTGGGCGGGGCTGACTGACAATATTTTCTATGTGTTTTATGGTGACCTAGGGACACCAGGCCTAGGAAAGCACATTTAAAGAAGAATTAACACCATCTTTTACACAACCTCTTTCGGGAAAGAAAAGAGGATGGGAGACTTTCTAACTCATTTTATGAGATCAGCACTATTCCCTTACCAAAATAAGACACCAGCAATACAAAAAAATAAAAATAAAATACAAAATAAAACTTCAATCTCTCTCACAAACATAGACTCAAAATACCTCAACAAAATATGAACAAAGTATTGTGTAAAAGTGGTGTGAATTCTTCTTTAAATGTTTGGTCCAATTCTCCAGTGAAACCATCTGGGCCTAGAGAAATCTTTCTTGGAAACTTTTTAACTATACATGCAATTACTTTAAAGGTAATGGGGCTATTCAGATTATTCATTTGTCTTGTTGAATTTGTTAGCTTGCAGTGTTGAGGAACTGGCTCATTTCTTCTAAATTGTTAAATTTATGATTCTAAAGGTGCTCATAGGATTGCCTTATTATCTTTTAAATGGCTGCAGGATTTGTAGTGATATCTACTATTTTATTCCTTGTATTGCTAATTTGTGTCTTCTGAGTTTTTTTCAATCTTGTTAAAATGTTTATCAACAAGTA